ATCTACTTTAGGGTTTTATACTGTTACCCATCACCATAATATCTGAGCACCTTTCATGTACAATTAATAGCAAGAGTGAAGTCCCTAGTGGACTTAATAAAGTCTCTGCTTTTCCCTGCTTGGGCTAGGGCTTTTTTTCTTTTTCTTTTGAGGGGGAGGGATGGAGGAGGTGGAAGGAATTTCAGAATAAAAGGGGTGTTTGAATTGTGAGCGTCACTGCTGGTGGAAAGACTCTCTCAAAGAGGAAGTCCTTGCAATGTTCTCTAAAGATGGTCAGACTCTGAATTCGCCTGATATCCTCTGGAAGATTGTTCCACAGCTGGATCTTCTTGACAGAGAATACTTTGTCCCCAGGTCAGAACATGCTTTGTTCTGGGCTTTTCATTTCATTGTGTTTTTAATCTCTCCTCATATTGAAGTGGTTCCGTACCCCTAATCACTTTTGTTGCCCTTCTGTGTACCTTTTCCAATTCTAATGTATCTTTTTTTGAGATGGGGAAGCCAGAACTGCATGCCCCGTATTCAAGTGCATATTCAAGTGTGGGCATACCATGGATTTATATAGTGGCATTATTATATTTTCTGTCTTATTAACTATCCCTTTCCTAATGGTTCCTAACATTAGCTTTTTTTGGCTGCCGCTGCACATTGAGGAGATGTTTTCAGAGAACTATTCACAATGACTCCAAGATCTCTTTTTTGATTGGTAACAGCTAATTTAGACCCCCATCATTTTGTATGTGTAGTTGGTTTTATGTTTTCCAGTGTACATTATTTAGCATTTATCAACATTGAATTTCATCTGCCGTTTTGTTGCCCAGTCACCCAGTTTTGTGAGATCCCTTTGTAACTCTTCATAGTCAGCTTTGAACTTAACTATCTTGAGTAATTTTATATCCTCAGAAAACTTTGCCACCTTACTGTCTACCCCTTTTTCCAGATCATTTATGAATATGTTGAACAGCACTGGTCCCAGTACCCAAGTTCCCTGTAAACTGCGCTGCGAGGGCTGCGCAGGTGGGGAGAGGAGCTCCTCCCACAGCATGGCCCAACCCAGGCCAGCCAGAGCTGCCAGGGAGAGGAGTCCCTCCTCCGGCCTGGCCCAGCCCAGCACCTCTGGAACTGCCGTGGCCCAGGAGAGGTGCCTCTTCCCTGGCCCGGCCCGGCCCAGCCCAGCCCCACCCCGACGGAGCTTCTGCGGCTGGGGAGAGGAACCTTTCACCTGGCCCCGAGCTGCTGCAGTGAGAGAGGGCTGGGGGCAGTCCTCTCTCCCCACCGCAGCCCTGGGGCAGCCCACACCCCAACCCTCTGCTCCAACCCTGAGCCCCCTCCCACATGCCAAACTCCTCATCCCGAGTCCCACCCCAGAGCCCTCACCCCCAGCCAGAGCCCTCATGCCCCCCTGCACCCCAACCCTCTGCCCCAGCCCTGAGCCCCTCCCACACTCCGAACCCCTCGCCCCACCCCCCACCACACATCACCTCCATATTGGTGCACATAACAAAATTCATTCTGCACATGGATGTAAAAAATTGGAAGGAACACTGCTCAGTACAGATTCTTAGGGGACCCAGCTATTTATTTCTGTACACTGTGAAAACTGACCATTTATTCCTACCCGTTTGTTTCCTATCTTTTAACCAGCTACTGATCCATAAAATGACTCCCCTTTATTCTCTGATTGTCTGCTTTGCTTAAGAGCCTTTGGTAAGAGACCATGTCAAAGGCTTTCTGAAAGTCCAAGAACGTTGTATGCACTGGATCACCCTTGTCCACATGTTTGTTGAACCCTTCAAAGAATTCTAATAGATTAGTGAGGCATGATTTCCCTTTACAAAAGCCATGATGACTCTTCTTCAACATATTATATTCATTTGTGTGTCTGATAATTCTCTTCTTTATTATAGTTTCAACCACTTTGCGTGGTACTGAAGTTAGGCTTATCAGCCTATAATTGCCAGGATAGCCTCTGGAGCCTTTTTTAAAAGCCAGTGTTACATTAGCTATCCGCCAGTCATCTGGTACAGAGGCTGATTTAACAATAGGTTACATAGGACAGTTAGTAGTTCTGCAATTTCATACCTGACTTCCAAAACCTCCTCTATTGACACCTCAGTCTGGGACAGTTCCTCAGATTTGTCACTTAGGTATGGGAATCTCCCTCATATCTTCTGCAGTGAAGACAGGTGCAAAGAATTCATTTAGCCTCTCCACAACAGCCTTGAGTACTCCTTTAGCACCTCCATTCTCCAGTGGCTCCAGTGATTGGCAGGTTTCCAGCTTCTGATGTGCTTAAAATTTGTTTTGCTGTTCGTTTTTGTGACTTTTGATAGTTGTCTTCAAATTTCATTTGTTAGCCATGGTGGCATTTTTATTTTTATTTTTTGGTCCTCTTAATATATTTTTTTTAATTTGTAGCATACATTTAGTTTGAGCCTCTGTTATGATGTTTTTAAAAAATTTCCATACATTTGCAAGCATTTCACTTTTGTGCCCAAAATAGGCACCAAAGTAAGTGACCAGATTTTCAGAAGAGCTAAATATATTGAGTATAGAGATGTTTTGAAAATCTGTCCATAGGTGTCTCAATGGGAGCAAATGGGTGCTGATCACCTTTGAAAATCTGGCCTTTATTTATGTGCTCTTCTGAAAAATTGCCTCCGTTTGTGCACTTGAAAATCTGACCCTAAATTCTTCTGAAAAATTTGGCTCTGCAAATAGACTTGGCACTCTATATACCAAAAGGTGCTCAGCATGGGACTAACAGGGAACTGAAGCTCAAGAGTGGTGTGCACTTCTGTACGGTGGTATGGGAAGGCTTGTGTAATGCTCACCTGTACTATGCCTCCCTCAAGTCAGTGTTTTACTCTTCCTTTCATCAGCAGTATGCAGAGGAGAGGAAATCTTGAAAATCCTTGGGCAAAATTGTGGCCCAAGTAAAGTCAATGGGAGTCTTGCCACTGACCTCAATGGGGCCAAGATTTTACCCCTTGATTTTTGCTGAGTCTTCTGGGGCCTCTGAGTAGCTTCAATATATTGCAGAAAAATTAGGGATGGGAGAACCAATTTGGATAAAATAAAAAGAGGATAGAGGAAGCTTGTGGTAGGCCCAAGATTTTGTTGGATCCAGAATCCAATTTGCTTTAATGTATCTCTTCTGCTTCCTTCGCTCTTTCAGACAGAGCCATTTATGTAAAAATACCACAAGAGGGTATTCTCATGGTCTGTCTATCCTAACTTTAACGTAAAACTCGTGAGGGAGCTTGTTATGTATAGTTTCCAATCCAGTTTGGAAGAACCAAGAGGTTCAGATAAATGTGAAAGCCAAACTTTTGGCTGAGTATCCAAACTAAACCCCAAACTTTTCCAGATTCTATAACAGATTTAAAAGTAGCTATACTTGAACAAAAAAACTTCAAAAACAGACTTCAAAGAGAAACTGTAGAACTAAAATTCATTTGCAAATTTAACACCATTAATTTGGGTTTGAATAGGGACTGGGGGTGGCTGGCTCACTACAAAAGCAACTTTCCCTCTCCTGGCATTGACACCTCCTCATCAATTATTGGGAGTGGACTACATCCACCCTGATTGAATTGGCCCTGTCAACACTGGTTCTCCACTTGTTAGGTAACTCCCCGCTCTTCATGTGTAAGTATAATAATGTCTGCATCTGTAATTTTCACTCCATGCATCTGAAGAAGTGGGTTTTTTACCGACGAAGGCTTATGCCCAAATAAATCTGTTAGGCTTGGTCTACACTAAACCTCCAAATCGAACTAAGGTACGCAACTTCAGCTACGTGAATAACGTAGCTGAAGTTCGAAGTACCTTAGTTCGAACCTACCTCGGTCCACACGCGGCAGGCAGGCTCCCCCGTCAACTCCGCGGTACTCCTCTCGTCTAGCTGGAGTACCGCAGTTGACGGCGAGCACTTCCTGGTTCGACTTATCGCGTCCAGACAAGACGCGATAAGTCGAACCCAGAACTTCGATTGCCAGCCGCCGAACTAGCGGCTGGGTATAGACGTACCCTTAGTCTTTAAGGTGCCACTGAACTCATTGTTTTTGTGGATACAGACTAACACGGCTACCCCCTGATACTTGAAACTTTTCCAGGTTCTTCAAGCACTAGGAAAATGCTCCTCTTTCATGGTGTGAAGTGATAGTGTTTAATGTTAACTATTCAATTCAGCAGATACTTACTATCACCATATAATGTTTTAATTGATTCATATGTGCTAAAATTTAACTGTTTTGATTTCACAGGTGCCTGCATAAATATCACGTACAGCCAGTGCCAAATGCTGCCATATAACCACACCACTCTAACATCAGTTCTTTCCATTGTCAAAAGCATTGAAATGGAAAAGTTCCTCAAGTTCTTCAGTTATCTCAACCGCCTCAGCTGTTATCAACACATCATGCTGTTCGGCTGTAGCCTTGCTCTTCCTGAGTGCATCAGTGATGGTGATGACAGGTATTTGGGAACTAAAATCAGTCAGTGATTAGAGCCAATTGTAGCATAATACTGCATATCTAATCAGAACAAAACAGTCCTGAGCTAAGCCTATGGCCTTATCATTGCAAAAATCCTGCCAGTCAAAGCTATTCCTCCAGCATTTCTGCCTAACTAAACTGTCTTCAAGCTCTTCTGTTAGAACAAGCTTAGTATTTTTGCTGGGAAGAAATTAATTAGTGTCACTATAACAGTTTGAATAATTTATGCCACAAGTTAGAACAGAACTGTAATGTAGTCAGGGGTTGCTTTCTTAGCACAATCAATGAAAAAGATATAGTAAGGGAAGCCTAATATATTTTTGTCTTGTGTATTTTATAGTGTACATTTAGCAGCATGTATGAAAAGGGGCAGAGTTAATACTGTTTTAGGAACTTCAATAATAGCATGTCCTGTTTTTTACAATTCATTATGCAACTTTCATATCCCATTCATGTAATTTTGCACTGATTTTCCTTTTTTAAAGGAAAATCATGAGATCATTCATGTTTAATAATGTTGAAAATTAGAAGTGACATAAAGGGGGAAATAGGTTGGTGCCTTTTTTGTTTTTGATAAATATAGAAGGTCTGCAACGTTGTTTTTTGTTTTCCTTTTTACACTAAAAACAAACAAACAAACCAAAAACACAAACCACTTTCTTACTCCTGATTTTTTACATTTGAAATTCAGGTCTTTGTGCCAAGAGTCTGAAAGCCCAATAGTTGAGAAGGGATAGGATGTTTTGATAGTGTTTAAAATTCTTTGGTTTGTGTTAACACCTCTTTAACTTAATTGCCTAATGAATGCTTGAGTGAAAGGATGTCTCAGTTAAAGATTCAGCATTCCTGTTCCTCCAGTTAAGAAGTGAGAGTTCACAGTATACACCTCTGACATTCTGTCCCCAACAAAAAGTCATCCAGCAATACCAGGGAAGGCTATGTTTAACTTTCCTGTCGTGGCCACATTTGCAGCATTTGCTGCGCCATTGGGAGTGGTGCATTATGGGCAGCTATCCCACAGAGCACCTCTTCCCATTCTGGCACTGTGGGTTGTGGGAAGCGGGCGTGGGTGCGGGGCATTCTGGGTCCTGTCCCAACGCCCCGTGATGCATCGCTTCGCATCCCAGAAATCCCTTTGTTTCTGTCCACCTTTGGCGCCATCTTTCAACGGTTTCTGTGCAGCGCGATCTGTTGTCTGCGGGAAATGGAGCCCGAACTGCTGAGGCATATGCTGACTTATCTCGCCAGCACGTCACGTTTGATTGTCGAACTATTCCTTAAGATCCAAAGTGACAGTGAGAGTGAGGAGTCCGATGATGCTATCGAGCCGCGTAACGCGTACGACACGAAATTGCTTGTGGCATTCACGGACATGCTCAGCACCGTGGAACGCTGCTTTTGGGCTGGGGAAACAAGCATCGAGTGGTGGGATCACATAGTCATGGAAGTCTGGGATGACAAGCAGTGGCTGCAGAACTTTTGGATGAGAAAAGCCACTTTCATGGGACTGTGTGAGGAGCTCGCCCCCACCCTGCGGCGCAAGGACACGAGATTGAGAGCTGCCCTGCCAGTGGAGAAGCGGGTGGCTATTGCAATCTGGAAGCTGGCAACTCCAGACAGCTACCGGTCGGTCGCAAACCAGTTTGGAGTGGGAAAGTCGACCGTTGGAATCGTGTTGATGCAAGTTTGCAGGGCCATTAATCGCATCCTACTCAGAAGAACCGTGACTCTGGGTAACGTGCAGGAAATAGTGGATGGCTTTGCACAAATGGGGTTCCCTAACTGTGGAGGGGCGATAGATGGGATGCACATTCCTATTCTGGCACCACCCCATCTAGGATCCGAGTACGTTAATCGGAAGGGGTATTTCTCTATGGTTCTCCAGGCGCTTGTGGATCACCGTGAGCGTTTCATTGACATTAACACAGGCTGACCTGGAAAGGTGCATGACGCACGCATCTTTCGGAACATTTGGCTGTTCAGGAAGATGCAGGCCGGGACTTTTTTCCCAGAGCGGAAGATCACGGTAGGGGAAGTCGAAATGCCCATTGTGATCCTTGGAGATCCCGCTTACCCGTTAATGCCATGGCTCATGAAACCCTACACAGGGAGCCTTGACAGCAGCAAGGAACGGTTCAACTACAGCTGAGCCGGTGCCGAATGACTGTGGAGTGTGCCTTTGGCCGTTTAAAGGGCCGCTGGCTATCTCTGTATGGGAAGCTGGACTTGGCCGAAAACAGCATCCCCGTGGTTATATCCGCGTGCTGTGCCCTCCATAATATTTATGAAGGGAAGGGTGAAAGCTTCACTCAGGCATGGACCTCCGAGGTTGAACACCTGGAGTCTGAATTTGCACAGCCAGAGAGCAGGGCTATTACAGGTGCCCAGCCCGGGACTGCAAGGATTAGGGATGTCTTGAAGGAGCAATTTGAGGCTGAAAACCAGCAGTGATATCTGGTGCCCTGCACGGGAGTGAAGTGCAGTAGTTCCAATCTTTAGGAATCAGTGTTTGCTAAGCAGACTTGCAGTGCTTGTTTATTTCCTGGGCTAAGGAGTCTTTTACTTTATGCAATAATAAAGAATGTTTTCAAAGCCAAAGAATCCATTTATTGAAAGAAAAAAAAATTATTTATTGAAAAGAAACAAGGGGGTGGAGTGGAATGGTACAATCACAGATTCGCGTATGTCCTGTCTGGTGTGCTGTGCAGTGAGTGCTGCACTTCAGGATAGCTATACTGCATGGTGATGGGGGTTGAGTGCAGAGGGTAAGGGTCGTCGTTTTCAGGGCTGGGTGGTGAAGATACTGGTGTTGGAGGCAGCGGGTGGCGTGAAGAACACGGAAGTGGGGAAAGTGGGTTGGAGGTGACAGTGGGGCACAACGGAAAGAGTTTTGGGACAAGGGCTGTGGGGGGGGTGGTGTTTCTGCTTGCGGTACTGCTCCTTCTGCATGGCTACGAGCTCCTGGATAGCGTCTGCTTGGTGCTCCAGGATGCTTATGAGCCGATCCGTGCTTTGCTGCCGGTGCGCTGCATTTTCCTGGCGGATTCTGCTTTCTCTCTCCCTCCAGTTCTGTGCTTTCTCATTCTCTTTAATAGATTGCCGCATCACTTCTTGCACCATGTCTTCTTTGCTTTTTCGCGGTCTCTTCCTGAGTCTTTGCAGTCTCTGAGCAGGCGATAAGAGGGACGGCTGAGGTCTCAAGGTTGATGCAGCTGTATAGGCAAAATGTAACATTTAACAGAGGCAGCATTGTTTATACCAGACAGAGTAATGATTCCCCCCGCACTTAAGGAATAGAAAACACACAGGGTCTACACAATAGCATAATTTTCCCGTCCAAAACAGAGCACACATATCCCACGGGAGCCTCAAAATGGTGAGTAAGGGGGACTGATTTTGTTTCAGGGCTGCACTGTCCTCTGGGTTTCTGTGCCTTGGGGAGAGCCAACAGCTTCAGGGGGCGCCTACACTGAACACTGTCCCAACATTTTCCACAGGAGTTCATCCTGGACGATATCTCGCTGCTGAGGGTGACCTGGGAAGCAAGGGAGGGTCTTCTACTGCAATGCGGCTTCCGCCCTGGCCCATATGCAGCTTGCCTGTGTGCAGCAATGGTCCCCCTGCCCCTCGTGGCAAAGTGGCGCGGACACGTTAGCCTGGCTGGGACAAGGACCACGGTGGCTCTCCCAATAAACCTGGGCAAGCGCATTGCACACGTTCTGGATGAGACATTCAAGGTGATTACCGAGGCCGATTACCGCGATGTGATAAACCACATCAATGCACTATTCCGCATCTAGGCATGCATGCCTAACCCTCCTCTCCCAAAGAGCCCGCACCGAAAAAATTCCTTCCCGAAAAAAAACAGCTTACCAGGAACCTGCTCTTCTGTTTGTCCTCCACCAAGTACCAGCCGCTGCGACTGGCTACCTTCCTCCTGGCTCGAGAAGAGCTCCTGGCTGCATGGCTCCAGGGATTCCAGGGTGTCTCCATCCAGCCCACCACCCTCACTCCTGTTTTCCTCCTCCTTCCCCCCTCCCCACACCGGCTCTGAAGTGTCCATGGTGGTGCTCAGAGTGGAGGTGGGGTTAACCCCAAGTATCGCATCCAGCTCTTTGTAGAATCGGCAGGTCGCGGTGGGAGCACCCGAGTGGCCGTTTGCGTCGCGGGCTTTGCGGTAGGCACTCCGCAGCTCCTTCACTTTAATCCTGCACTGCAGGGCATCCTGGTCATGGCCCCTTTCCATCATGTCCTTTGATACCTTCCCGAAGGTATCGTAATTCCTACGGCTGGAGCGCAGCTGGGACTGTACAGCTTCCTCCTCCCAAACACTGATGAGGTCCAGCAACTCACCATTGCTCCATGCTGGGGCTCGCTTGGCGCGTGGAGGCATGGTCACCTGGAAAGATTCGCTGATAGCACTCCACGCCACGCCGGGCTGAGCAAACAGGAAGGGGATTTTTAAAATTCCCGGGGAATGTAAAGGGTGGGTCACATGGTTGGTTACCTGAGGCCAGGGCAGTAGAGTTTGAACTGATGACCAGAGTGGCTAGAACAGGCATTGTGGGATACTGTCGAATACTTCTGGAGGCCAGTCACAGCTCATTGGGCGGCCACACTGGCGCCGCAGCACTGCAGCGGCAGCGCTGCACTCACTATTCCTCTCGGAGAGGTGGAGTACATGCAGCGCTGCATCCACGGAGATACAGCGCTGCAAATGCCTTGCCAGTGTGGACGGGGAGTGAGTTACAGCGCTGGGGGCGGCTTTACAGTGCTGCAACTCGCAAGTGTAGCCAAGGCCTCAATGACTTGGATGGAGTGGAGGGAGAATAAATTCACACACTATTCTTTGTCTGAAGACAGCTTTCTGTAAGACTGGGGGCTTGTCTACATGGGTGGTTTATCCTGCACTAACTTAAGGGCATGTCTACACTGGCAGAGTTACAGCGCTGGGAGTTACAGCAATGCTCAGAGAGCGTT